CAAAACTATGGTCAAGTGCCAACAGATGTACAAATGCAAACTGCCATGTCAAATGACGCTGCGTTAGGTTTGCCACCATGGTATGCAAATATGAGATGGAAAGAGTTTTATACAAACCCTGAAGTGGGATATAAACAACTTTATGCAGATGACGCGAACACAGGAGTTGACCCAGAATATGTTTTCTACCAGAGGAGAAACAGAATGTATGAGCTCCAGTTAAAGAATGCTATGGAACTCAACAGGAAACGTAAGAGACTAGGCGGACATTAGATTTTTACATATAGTAAAATGGGTTTCTTCAGTAAATAGGAAACTTCTTTCGAAATGTTGGAAGAGGTATATGGAATGGAATAAAAACCGTAGGAAGAGGAATTTGGAACGGTGTCAAAAATATTGGTAAAAGAGTAGGTCAGTTTGTTGGTATTATACCTAAAGACCCTGAACAGAAGAAAAGCTCCTGTTATACAACAGCCTGAACCTGCACCACGTCTAGTTGGCAACCAAATCCAACACCTCAACCGTATTAAAAATTATATTTTTACCGTTCGATAGTAGTTGTATATGAAACTAAGTTCTAAGTAAAACGCATGTATAATGGAATTATTCTTTTTCTTCCATCTGTAGTAAACCATACTTGAAAGTCTGAAATACTTCCACTTGGTGTTCGTATAACTTTGTAGGTTTTTCGTAAAAGTCATTTGCCAAGCATAAGAAAGAGTTTTGGGCGCCAGAAAATGAAGCATGAACAATAATAGCAGCTGGGTCGAAAACATCTTTAAATAAATATGGTTCATCTCTTGCATATCGACTGTAAATATTTGCTAAAGGAAGTTCGACTTTCTGATTTAACATTCTTTGCAAATAATACCATGACATTGCAGTGAATTCTGTATATATTTGTTCGTCTTTCTTTGGATTGTCTTCGTAGATTTGAAATGACACTTGTGAATTTTGTTTGTCATATACAATTCTCACATAAAGTGTGCTCTCGGTATTTGCATATTCATCAGCATATTTTTGCATAACATGAATTTATTTTATCTTCTATATTTTTTAACGCAGTCTGTAGAGAAGATGAAAGGTCAACTTGTATTAGCTCAATTTCTTCCCACATTTTTCGTTTCCCTTCAGATATATAATCTATATGAAACCTTACAATAAATGGAAAACTTTTATCTTCTACAGACACAAACTTCATTCTACGAAAGCCAATAGCTTTTGTGACAGATGGGTCTCTTAAACCATCTAAGTGGTAGTCAAAACGATAGCCTTCATGCTTTACGGTCTCTGTCTCAAACTTTTGACCGACATTCGTAAAAAGTTCATCTAATGGTTTAGTTGTAGCAACTCTTGAATTTTCTTTTCTATTGGAAGCATATTTTATCTAGAATAAAAATGTCGAAGAAACAGCGTCTATGAGAGAAATACAACAACCGACAACTCATTATGCAAGCTCTAAATAAGAACACAAAAACTTTTCAAACTATTCTAAGATATCTGAGTCATTGAAAGAAGGAAACCTAAAACTGACATTAAACCCAATGACAGATGAGTTTCTGTTTCAAGACAATAAGAACCATACTGTTTGTATAAATCCAACAAAAAGAACTTTAAACGAGAAACCTATAGATGAACTTCTTTTGAAAGCAGATATTGACAACAAAGCTGACAAAGAGTATGTCATTGAAAAAGTTCAAGAAGAACATGACAGAGCAGATGCAACATATGCAACAAAAGCAGATGTTGACAACAAAGCTGACAAAACATATGTTAACGATGAGTTAGCATGCGTGGCTAGTGCGTTAGTGAAGAAGGCAGATAAGGAATATGTGGATGAAAAAGACAATGAAATTAAAGAAAGGGTTGAATGGTATAATGAACGGACATCGAAGATTTTAAAAACGAAAGCTGATACAGGATGGGTTTCAGGGTGTTTAGACCTTAAAGCCGACAAAGAAACTGTAGATATGTTGGCACAAACGGTTTCAAGTCATACCAGAGGTTTAATGGAAGATGGACAACAGTTGAAAGAGCTTGAGAAAGGTGTTACAGAGTTAAGGAATACAAAAGCAGACTCGACATGGATAAAGGATATGTAGATGCAACAAAAGAACGTATTTTCGCATGGACAGAAGGAACATACCCACAAAAATATCATAGACATAGCATCTCTGACGTAATGAACTTGAAGAAAAGTTATATAAAAAAGCAGACAAACAGAGCTTCAAACATTAAAGACAGAAATACTTCAAACATATATCCTATAGGCTCTATTTATACGTCAATGAACTCTACCAGACCAGAAGTAGTACTTGGTTTTGGAACTTGGACTCAAATAGTCGACAGGTTTTTGTATTGTGCAAACTCTTCAAAGGAAACAGGTGGAAGTAAAACGATTTCAGGTGAAAATTTACCTGCACACAGTCACTACATAGATTTAAGTACATCTCAAGCAGGTTGCATAAGCATAGATATTGGATTGGTCAGGAATGACAAAAGGTAAAGGATATGATGTTAAAGACAACGTTAAGTTTGCTATAATTGTTACTGGAGTAACACTGAGGGAGGAGGAAACCATATACATAACGTTTCAGGATATACGCAAACAACGGGACAAAGTAAAGACTACATGCCACCTTACATGACAGTTTACGCATGGTATAGAAATGCTTAGTCGTCATTTTCAACTTCTTTAGCATATTCGTCAGGAGTTGTCTTATATTTGTTAGGAACTGTCTTTGAAAGTATACCACCTTGAACTTTGACAAGTTTGAAACGAGGTCTGACAATAGTAGTTTTATCTTCTGCTTGCAGTGTGTACATTTTGCCATGTTTGCCTAAAACTTCATAATATTCTCTTGTATACTTTCTTCTATTTTTACGAACACGAATGTGAGTACCTGTCGAGTTCCCATTGTTGTCATAGTCAATAGTATTTTCATATGGGTCGCGTTTAGGTATTTCTATTTTTACTTTGTCACCTTTCTGAAGTTTGAAGCCTGGCATTCTTTCTTGTTTGTCTCTTTTGACTAAACTATTAAATATATAGTCTTTCTCTAAGTCAGGGTTGTTTTTCATTTCTTCAGGGGAAGTGGTTTCCCAAACCTTTTTGTTTACGGCTATTGTAAATATTTAAAACTTGTCTCATCTTTGCCATGGAGAAGTGTCTATACTTGTCGTCATATGACATTTCATCTACCTCACCACCTTGTGGTTGGTTTAAGTCTCTTAAGTTTTTATACAACTGTCAATGACACAAGAGCAGAATGGTTTTGGTCGACAATGAAATATTGGTTTACATTTTTTGAACGCAGATAGTTTTTAATATCGTCTGATTTGAAAGAACTTTCACAGTCAGATGTCAGTTTTGTTGGATGGTATTTGTCAACGAATATTGTCAAAGCAGTTTTCACATCTAAAATATTTTTGGACCATAATGGTATGGCTTCACAGTATCTTGTGTTTTGACCGACAAATATTAGCCAGTATGGGGTCCATCTTCTCTATACCTCGGAATGTTTTCCAAGATATCCATAAACCAAGCATTTGGTGTTGAACTAAAGATTTTTATCATGAGTGCTTTCTTTGTCGCTTTAGAAACATAGGGGTCCTTGTTTGGATTCGTCATTTTTTAACCCATAAGAAATGGGTTTATTTGGCGCATTAGCAGGAGTTGCATCCAGATTTTTGCCCGCAGTGGGAACAATAGCCAGAGGTGTATTTGGAGTTGGAAGGAAGATTTTGAGTACATTAGGTATACTTAAAGAGAAAGCACAACCTATTATACAAACTGTACAGAAAGGTTGGGATGTAGCACGAGATGCAGCAAATCTTATTCCAAATCCTGAAACAAGAGGAAAAGTTCAAGGATGGATGGATAATGTAGGAAGACAAGCAGGAAACTATTATAACAAAGCAAATGACTACTATAACCAAGCAGGGCACTACATGGACCAAGGTGAAAGATTCTTTAACAGAGGATATAACCATGCACAACAGTGGGTAAACAATAACCAACCTCAACCGCCTCAAACGTGGGGAATGTAAAATTTTTAACTAGGATGAAATGAACAATACAGCATTGAGACAAATGGGTTCAAGATGGATTTGTCGACTTCCAGCAGTTACACAACACGTGTTTGTCAAGTCCTCCTATACCTCAGGAAGTTTTAGACCGACTTAAAAAACCTAAAAACCAGTTGAAAACAAAAAAACTAAAATTTTTTACTGAGATGAAATGACCGAAGAAGTTGAAACGGTAGATTTGACACCACAAACAAAAAGTTCAGAACCATTGTCAAAACCTGTCAAAGAACTTACAGATGAAGAGAAAAATTCAATAATAGAAAGTGCCAGGTCTGGAAATACAAACCCTAACTATAAAGTCACTTTTCATAGAAATGGAACGGCTAGTATCTCAAAAAAGAAACAGACTCTCACAAATAAAATATTGAAGTCTGAAGGAGCTTTCGAGACAACAGATGGAAAAGTTTACTTCACTGACCAACAGTTCATTATAGAACATCTCATTGACTTAGAGTCGAAATATTCTAAACTTTACAACAAACACAAAAAGTTGAAAGGAAAACAAAAACAAATGGCATATGATATTTATGAAGATGTTGACGACACAACCATACCTGCAAGTGAGGTAAAGTCAGAGGAACCGAAAAGTGACGAAAAACCAATAGAAGAAGGGAAGCCAAAAACTGAAGATAAACCAAAACCAAAGGTTAGTTTCAATACTAAACCAAGTCAACCTTCATTAGCTGGTATGGGTTGGCGTCAAAGACTTATGGCAGCAGGCGGTTATGTAAAGTAAAGAAAAAAAATATTTTTTTATTTTTATAAAAATGCCCCCATATAGAATGGATAGAAAATCTGCTAGAATAAAAGCAGAGTTAGAAAGATATGGTTGGAAAGTTTCGAAGAATTTTAAATATAGGAAGGGAAGACCCATAAAAGTCTATGACAAATTGTCTGGTCTTCGCTACGAAATGGATTTGGAAACAGCGCGCGCCAATTATCCAAACAGACTAGAGAGGTTAGAAGAAGAACGTCTTATGGACATGCCTTTCAATGTTAGTGAACCGCAAGTTGAAGGACACGACGGCTTTGCCAGATTCTATTGGAAACATGACGAACAATTGCATCCTTTGAGAAGGAAAAAAGGAAAAGGTGAAGACAAACATGCTCCCATGGAAAGAACAAGATATGCATATGAAAAGTACCGTGAAGTTAGAAGTCAAATTACATCTGGTCGAACCTTTACAGTAAACTTTGACGAAGGAAAGAACAAAGAAGGCTTCATGGGAGTACTTGCTGCCATACAAGACGGAAATAAGAAAGGATACAATCTCAGATTGACCATAACAGATTTGGATGGTCACATTTACTATGCACATGGCAATGTCACAACAGCTGCAATGCTTCTTGACGCTTTCAAGACTACAAAGAGAGAACAAATGGTTGACTCCGACTCAGACATTTTGAATGCAATTGAAGGAATTGCAAGTGTAAAATTTGAATGGTACCAACCTAACCCTCAAGCAGTCAGACAACATGCTGGATACTTCCCGTTCATAAATAAGTCTGACATTGACTTGACAAGGTATGGAATTTACAATTCAATTGAAACAATTGTCAATGAACCTTGTATTCTTACATGTCTCAGGAACTCTGGTCTTGTTACAGAAGAGAAGATGAAGTATCTTGAGTCATGTGTGAAGACAAGGTACATTCTCAGAGGTCAATTGGCAAAAATTGCACCGTTGGCAAATGTCAATATCCGAGTCAACATTCCGACTGAGAAAGGTTCTTCACATGACGACTATGTTGTTGACAAAGACTTACCATGGTTGAAGATTGTAATTGTCCACAACCACTTCATGTTGAACGAAAGTCTTACAAACCCATTGTTCGGAAAAGGCAAGTGCAACATTGTCAGAGCTGTAAACATTCTTTTCGAGAAAGGTTTGTTGGAACCAATTCCAGATGACAAGCTGACAGAAACTTTTGTACCAAAAGACGAAACAAACTTTTCATTGTTAGCAAGACCAAAAGTTGTTCCAGACAAAGTTATAGCACAAAAGAAGTACACTGTTCCAAAAGGAGTTGGATTGTTCGGATACCAACCTGAACCAGAAGAACTTCCAATGAGGTTGCAAGAACTTCAAGATGCTATAAACAAACTTCCATTGAGACATCCAATTGACGTCAAATTGTATTGGAGAGCATCGGAGTTAGGTCAGAAGGTTTTATATGAAACAGGTTGCTTCGACGATGTTTATGAGATAGCAGGCGAAGTTTCTCAGAAGATAAGAGACTCACTTGAATTTCCACGAACTGGACCCATTGGTTGCGACAAGTTCGACTCAAACGAAAAGATATACTATGTCGACCTTAACGCTGCATACATGAGGTTCGTCCAATATATCCGACTGGAATTCCAAACGAAGACGGTGAGGTTCCCAGGAAGGAACTATCAGTTGGAAAAGTCATACAACAACTGTATGATATTAGGAAAGCTTCAAACCCCAAACTTGCAATGACACTCAAATTGCTTATGAATTCGACATGGGGATATTCCATTAAGAAACCTCAAAGATGAAGAGTAAACACTATGAGAAGGTCGACAACTTTGTTGAAAGGTTTCTCCCCTTTTGTTTTGAAATCGAATTTACTCAAGGTCAAGGTGGCTTAGTAACCACAGTAAAACCTATTGTCGAACATTGGTCTTACCCTCAGTTCGCAAAGGCAGTCCTTGACAACTACAACAAATTCTTCTCCGAAGTCAAATCGAAAGTTGTGGTTTTACTGAGAACATTGACGCACTCATGACGAACGAAGAAGGATACAACAAACTCATTGAAATGGGAATGGTCGGTGAAAAGATGGGCTGTTTTAAGCTAGATAAGGTATTTTCCGAAGTTATGTCCTCTCCAAGCGTAAGTACTGGGGCATACTTGAAGACGGCACAGAAATAAAACATTGCATGAAGTAAAAAATTTTTATTCGAATTTGAATCGGACAGGTCGAGTTACACCATTCTTGGTCTCAAACTCATATATAACCTGTTTGTTTGTATTTTCGTCGACTATGGCACGAGACACGAACATTGACCAAAGTAAAAATGTTCGGATGGTCACGCAGCCAATCGCATTCGAGCACTTCGAAGAAGCCTTACGTTCAAGGGAGAGGGTGTCTGGTGCAAGGGAGAGGTCATGAGACTCTACGAGCAGTACATCCTCAATGCCTGGGAGGACAAATCGTCCTTGGATTGGCAAATCTACCAAACTCCTCTGGGACGACCTCCTACGCAACTGGGAGAACGAAAGAGTCCAATTCAAAGGTCGGGAACTAATTTTGCAAATTGACCTTAATTTCACATACTTATCCAAATAAACGCCTAAATTTACTCGGGGTTTCCCCTAAAATAAAATTTTTTTACTCTTAGAACCACTCGAGGTTCTCCTTACGGTTGTTGAGCTTGTCACCGTCAATGTGTCTGACCTTCGTCTTCTGCCTGGATTTGGAACCCATTGAATTGCGACACAGCTTGCCCATGGAAATTGAACCGCGATTCCGAAGGTTAAGGTTCAAGTGTCCCAAGTTGTTGAGGACTGGGTAAGAACCTTGCCGGTCTCCCTGTTGCGGATTTGGTATGGGTAGGGTTGGGAAATTTCGTAAGTGTCATCGGCAACAAGGGTTGCCCAAACTTCCTCTTCTTCGTGTTTCTCTCTTCCTCTTCTTCCTCTTCCTCTTCTTCGTGTTTCTCTTCTTCTCGACAATTCCTTCTTCAATTCTGTGTTCACGAATTACGGTGTTGCATGTTCTGTCCTTTCCGAGTACCTTCCAGATGGCGTCTATCTCTTCGAAGAAACGGTAGATGAGTCTGGCAAGGTCTCGGTTCTCTCTCGCGTAAATGCGCAAGGTTTCCGTCAAATCGTTCAGGACTTTCTCATTGGAAGCTTGGTTCATGAGGAACTCACCTTTAAGTCCCTTCATCTCTTCCATAAGACTACTTTGGAGAGTCTTAACGGTGTTTGTCAGATGAGCTTTCAAATTCAAAATTTGAATTTGAACTGGGCGCTTGTCTGGCAACATTGAAAGGACATCTGCCATTGTGTTCGGCTTCGGTGCTTGTTCGGACATCGAAAAAATGAAGTGGTTTGAGAATGACGGTTTTACTTCAAAAAGCTTGTTATGACGGTTAAGTCATACAACAAGTTTAAAATAATATCTTGTTCTTCTTCTGAACGTTTGTTGTCTCTTCCGATAAAAGTTTCGAACATGAGAACCAAAAAACGTTTTTTGAGATTGCGGAAGAGTTCAGGCAAACGTTCATATTCTGGATATGTTGGGAGCAGTTCAAAACATCTGAGCTGACTTTCGGACAAAATTGGGACAATGTCAGAAAATTCATCTTTGGTCGGACTGCTTGAAGGTAAGTCCCTTACATGTAAGTAGCTCTGGTAAAGTCTTCTCATTTCTGCTAACTTTTGGAGTATAGCTTCGTAGTTTAGAAGTTTTAATTTTAATTGTCTTATTCCACTCTTTACTTCTAAACGGTAAGTATCCATGAGGTCAAGAGTAGCTTTGGTAGCTTTAAGTGGAGCTATCTGTTCCTTGACTTGTGCAATTTTGGTTGCAATTGTGGTTTGAGCTCCTTCAAGTTCGCCGTCTATGTCGTTCTCAACACCTTCAACCATAGCTTGAAACTCTTCATCGGTCCATTGAGTTTGGTGTGGGACGAATTTAACTTGCTTCATTCAAAAAATGAAAAAAATGTTTTTACTCTAAACGTTAAGGTTTACTGAACTGGTTGGATGTCGCCTTCACAGGTTATGTAGAACGGCTGACCCGAGAAGTGAAGGAGACCCTTGAGAATTTGGCTCATTCTTGGGAAAGGGTTCTCTCTGGTTGGAAGTTGTATCCAAGGACGCTTTGCAAAGAACTTGAGAAGAGCTTCTTTCTTTGCTTGCTTTATGTCGTCGTAGGCTGTCCCGTCTGGTATTTGAATTGGAATTCCAGTCGAAGTCTCGAGATTCAAGGCAGCCCTTCCCGTTATCCAACAGTTAACAAGCTTGCCTTTTACATTCTGCCTGAGGAAGTCTTTAACAAGCTCGTTAATTTCAATTAGGTAAATTGCCTCGTCGGTAGGTTCGACCTCGACCATTGCTACTGTCAGTAAAAGTACTGCTACTGTCAGTAAAAGTACTGCTACTGTCAGAAAAAGTACTGCTACTGTCAGTAAAAGTACTGCTACTGTCAGTAAAAGTACTGCTACTGTCAGTAGCAGTACTGCTAGGAGCAGTAAAAGTACTGCTACGAGCAGTAAAAAGGAAAATTTGAGAGGGTTTTCGACGATAAAGTACTGCTACTGTCAGAAAAAAGTTACTGCTACTGTCAGAAAAAGTACTGCTACTGTCAGTAAAAGTACTGCTACTGTCAGTAGCAGTACTGCTAGGAGCAGAGATTTTTATCGTTGTGGTCCGACGGTTAAGCCACAAACGAATGTCCGACGTCCCCCAACCGAGCCCATTCCCAAAACCAGAGGAACCTAAAGCACCAGCCCCTGCACCTCAGTTCCAGCAAGTCCCTCCACCAAAATTACTACCAATTTCCACCTCAAAGGTTACTACCAATTTCCACTACAAGGCTTCCCGAACTACCCTCCTCAGCCTATGCCTTACTTCCCCAACCCTTGGATGTTCCAGCAAGCTCCACCCCAGCAATTCCAATCTCAATCCAAGAGAGACCAAGAGTTCGAAGAAGGTCTGAACCGCTTACGCAAAGATTATGCTACTGCCCCTAGGAAGACGACAGGCTTTCAGTCTCTTCCCTCAAATCGACCGATTCGACTCGTACCACAGATTCGGTTCGTGACCGTGAAGACTACCTCAAGCAGTCTGAGAGACTCTTCATCCTACAATCATTTACAACTGGAGCTCTCAAGAAACATGCGCAATTACGAAGGTCAGACACCAGCTGGAGACCGCAAAACAGACGTACTCGCAAAGAGCAGTCCAACTGGTCAAAACAAAGACTGAGATAGTCGACTTCATTCTTGCAGCTTGCCCATACAAGTAAAAAAATAAAACAATTACGAGTTAAACTTTTATTCTTTCTTTTCTGAGTTGTTTAGAGCTGGTTTCTCTTGTAGGAACCTTTCGTACTCTTCCACGGTCATGTAATTGCGAATTTGGTACGCAATTCCAGGTTCGTTGTTTTTGAACCTTACGTATAAACGCTTCCATCCTCTCAGGGAAGTAAGCTGCTAACATCTGACCAAGTTTTCTCGGTTGACTCGGAGCTCATTAAAATGTCACTTTTTTAATTTAAGTTTTTAGTCTTATTTTACCCTTTGTTTACCCTTTGTTTGTCAAGGTAGTATTGGAGTGCAATTTCTCCAAATTCTCTGTGTCGGAGTTCTTCAGCATTTTCCAAGGTGTACCTGGAGAACTCAAAGAAGTTGTCAAGAAGATACTGCCATGCTGCTCTTCTGAGTTCGTCGGTATTTTGGAAGTGTTGCACCTTCGAGTCTTCGGACATGAAAAAATGACACTTTTTCTATTAAACCGTTTTGGCATTTCTCATGAGTGAGTATAGTTCTGCCGAACCATTGGAAGAGAAGAAGTACCCTTGCTGGCAAAAGACAAAAATAGTTGCCTTAGTTGTCATTGCAATTGTACTCGTAATTGAATTCATTGTACTTCTCTTCACGTACATAAAACTCAAGGACGGCATATGCTTTAAGAAGCTACCATCTTACTAAGACTAAACACTTAGATTTTTCAAGCTTGACTTTTTACAATTTGAACTTTGTTGCTGAATTCAGCAAAAATAATGTTTAGGTGAAGAGGTGAGATTTCACCTCTTTTTTCACCTGTTTTTTCACCTCATGAATTTTCATGATTTCATCGTAAATGTTTTGTCAAACATGAACGTAAATGTTTTGTCTAAACTTCATCGTAATGAGCGTAAATCAGACAAAAATAATGTTTAGGTGAAGAGGTGAGATTTCACCTCTTTTTTCACCTGTTTTTTCACCTCATGAGTTTTCCCGAAATAAAAAATAAAGTTGGTTTTTTTAAAAAAATATTTTTTTATTTTGTATAAAAAATATGATTTCAACAATCGGCACAACAACAGTTCAAACAACTACAGCACCAAACTCGTTAGTTATGAATCCAACATCTATGTTGGTAGAGATGAAAAACTTCATTCCTTCTTCATATACTTTCGAAACAAAAATCCAGAAGATAAAGCAAGAACTTTTAACAAGTAATTTAGACTGTAGTGCGAAAGATGAAACAAATGAACAGTATCTTTATGAAATGCAGGACATTATTGACCATTTACCCAAATTGCCTGAAATCCAACAACAAAAACTCACTATTCCTGAATTCGACGAAATTGAAGTGAAACCAACTGACTCAGTAGAAATAAAGAAGTTCATACGAAAGGTAAATTATGAATTCCTTAGTTTTCATTGCAACCATAAAGTTATGGACAAAGATTGCGACATGTTATATAAGAACATCTCTGACCTTTACAAATCCGAAGAATTTAAGACCTACGACAACTTTGTTTCATTAGTTGCAAAAATGTGTTGGGAAATAAGAGATAAAGATAGTAGGGGTAAGGTATGGAACGAACAAATAAGACCGCTATGTTCGAGATGAAGAGAGCAATTGACGCCTTAGTTGTTTTAGCAGGTAAGGTTTCAGAAATAAACGCAAAATGAACCCGCAATGTTCAAAATGTAAAGCAGCAATGAGGAAATATAACTACTCAGTCAAAGAGATAAAAGAATGCGAAACGACTATGCAGACTTAAAGAAAAGAAGCAGAAAAGCCAGCAGATAAAATGAACATGTTAGCATTTCTGAACAAAAACTATCCAACTGCTGATTTCCTTCTATCTGACGTCAAGAAGAAGTATAAAGAAACTTTCGGTATCGTTAAAACATTCGATGTACTGACAGAAGAAATAGAAGCTACGAAATTGTTTAGGATTTCAAATATACATCATACAATTCAGTTAAACGCTTTTAAAAATAACAGGTGAAAAAAAGAGGTGAAAAAGAGGTGAAATCTCACCTCTTCACCTAAACATTATTTTTATTGAATTCAGCAACAAAATTCTGAGTAAAATAATTTTTAGGGCTTGTGTCAAACCGTTGAGTTTTCACAAAATTTTAAAAAATAACGTTTACCATGTGAAACGCTTATAAAATAACTGAGGTGAAAAAACAGGTGAAAAAAGAGGTGAAATTCACCTCTTCACCTAAAATATATTTTTGCTGAATTCCGTATGAAATTTCATGAATTTCCTCATATGCTTGCTTCCCTCGAAAAACCGAGAGAAGAACAGCGAGTAGTGAAAAACCCTGGTCGCCAAAACTCTTTATTTTTCAAGCTTGACTTTTTACAATTTGAACTTTGTTTGCGTAGATATGAATTCTGAAAGAAGTATGAGGGTCTTGTATGACTTTGTATTCTCCCATAGTTCATGTCTGTCAAACTTACCTGCCATGGACTCTTTCATAAGTTCCATGAAATCGTCTTCGGAACAATCCAGGGAAAAGTATGATATCAGTAAGTATTCTTTTAACATCCTTACTTAAACTCTTTGCTGTCTGTACACAAATGACAACAGAGATGTTAAAGTGTCTGAGCTTCTTAAGAATTCGACACATGTCTTGTTCTCTGTTCTTTAACAAAGGATGAGAAGCAAAGTCATCTAAGATAAGAAGACATCTATGAGGGTACGTTTTCCAATCGTAAGATTGCAATTTCTTCGAAATGTATTCTATCTCTTTCTGTTTGTTTCTGAAGTGTTCTTCTCTAATATTCTCTGCATTTCCTCATTTGGGTCTTTGAACTTAGAATTTATATACTCATTTATAGCATTATAATACTTCAAAACTCTTCTTTGGTACTTCTTTATCCAATCTAAACTCAGAGTCTTTTATACATACTAACTTAGACTTCTTTATAATATCTTTGAACGAATTGACGGTTTGGTCAAATTGACCAGAAGTACTACAAATAACAAACTAACTCATAGAATGGGTTCTTCTCATCTAGTTCTTGTTGTTGTGCAGCCATTAAGATAAGTGAAAGTCTTACCCGACCCAGGTGGTGCAATTAGACCTGTTATACCATTCTGAGCAAATAAGAACTTGTCATGTATAGGCTTTATCTGAGCATTTTCTAACTTCCTCTTGTTCTTGTTTAAAACATTCTCAAATTTCTTGTCAATGTCAGCAAACTTTTTTTCTAACATATTTTTAGAAAAATTAAAAATTTTATCTTTTAGAAAATGTCTAGCGATTTCGCTATCTATATTCGAGACAAACTTTTTGACAGCAAAACATCTGTCGACCATAAAATCTTACATAGTGTAAACAAGAAAGGTGAATTTGTTCTAAAGTTCTGTTTCTGGGAATATGACAAGAACCATAAAACATTAGGCAGAGAAGTCTTTAAGTTTGTCAATGACAGACTTGTTGACAGAGATGACGCCGATTGGAAAGATGAAGTCCAACAAAAGTTCTTAGAATGCAAAGAAGGCACATGTGCTGTTCTTGAAGATGAAATAGAAAACAGAATAGAAGAGCTATTAAAGGACAAAGAACTTTTACATAAATATGGTTCTGAGAAATTTGACATAACTCCACCAGAAAAGAAGAAGAGAGAAAAGAAAGAAAAGAAAGTAGAAGAAGAGAAGAAAGAACCAGTTCCAGAGAAAAAGAAATTTGACATGTAAAAATAAAATTTTATTTTTAGAACATTTCTGGGTCAATGTCAATGTTCTCTTCCTCTTTAGGGGCAAACACTGGCTTAGACTCTAAAATCTTTTTACCCAACTTACCTTGAACTTCAACTATCTTAGACTCATAATATTCATAGTCGTCTGTCTTCTTTGGTTCATAAGGTATAACAAGTTTGTATGCTTTGCCTTCTTTAAGGTTTGAGAACCTTCTGTCAAAATTTTCTTTGACTGTTAACAAACCTTCTATGTCTAAGTCTTCAAATTTCGCACCATTTTTAGTCACAATAGCAAACTTAACTGGTTCGATGTTCCAAACTTTGTCAAATGTAGACTTTTCAAAATGGTAGAAGTAAACATTCAAATAAGCGAATGGGTCTAGTTCTTCTTTGACTTCTGTCATGTACTTATTTACTGAGATGAATTTCGTCATCTTTTCTATCGGATAAAAAAATATTTTTTTAAAATTTACTCATAAAAATTTTTCTTTGTATATACGCCGTTCTGAACGTCTAAAAGATTTTTGACATTTGCCAAGAATGTTCGTTTAGACGCTGTCATATAACCATATTCTTGACAATACTGTTTATATTCATC